CGCTGTCGGAAAGCGGCTCACAAGGAAGAGATAAGTCGTAAGTGATAAGTAGAAAAAGGATATATTTTATACTTGAATAAGTAAGTGTTATAGCTTACAATCCCATGTAAATGATAAATATCAATAAAACGACTGTTTTTTTTTGCTTTCACATTGTTATTTTCAATTCTCGATTGCATTCGAGTGTGAAAAATTATAGCAACATAAAGTACAACGCCGCTCAAATTATCTCGAGTGTGCACAGTTTGGCCAGTTTAGCGCGCTCGAGTTAACTCGAGCGTGCACATTAAGGGGTTAAAGAGTTAAGCAAGCATTTATTGTACACTGCATAATAAATGATTCTAGACACGGATGGTCGTTCCTGACGTACATCGGCGAGCCGACTCGCCTGTTGCCCTGGTTGATGAAGAAGTTCGCGAAGGCGGGCGGAGTATTTCGGAAGAGAAAAGTCGAGAAGCTGCACGAACTGATCGACGACAATGGATACGACGTGGTAATAAATTGCAGCGGACTCGGCGCGCGACACCTCGCCGCCGATAACACGGTCACGCCTATCAGAGGTCAAGTGGCCAGGGTTCGTATACTCGGAAATAGCGAAGCCCGTTCAAACTTTCGGCTATCTGCTTATCATTCGATTTCAGGCGACGGCTTCCGGGACGTTGCACATGTTCTTGGTGGACGACGACGACTCGTACTACATCATTCCAAAGTAACGAATCGCTATACCGTGCGACAGGGGTGGCCAAATTTTTTATCGCTACGGACGACCTGCTTTTTTTCAATTATAAGCGGCGGTGTACCAGCATCGTATGTGTTAAGTCATCATAAGTAGTAATTTAAAGCGAAAAATAAGTTGACATTTAAGATAAGCATAGATAATATCAGACAGGCGGGCGACTAGGAATATAATTGCGTGGTCGACGCTTTGGCCACCCCCGTCGTACGACAGTGATGACATCCTGATCGAATCTTTATTGTTTTTACTTAAAGTTACGAGGTCATGGTGTTGGGCGGTACGCACCAAGAGGGCGACTACGATTGTACGCCGCGGCAGGAGGACGCGCAGCGCATCTACAAATGGTGCAAGCGAGCCTTGCCCGCGTTCGAGGTAAACTATCGATCAACGCGCGACGGCGAACTTCCGACGATCGTACGCGTTGCCACTTTATGCACCATATTTTGCGGTATTCGTTCGTTGCAGGGAATCGAATTGCAGAAAGAGTGGGTGGGTCTTCGACCCGGGAGGCCCAGCGTGCGTCTCGAGTCCGAGGTTCTCGTGTCACCTCGCGGCAAGAAGTACGAGGTATCGGGAATTACCTAGCATATATCTGTTTCAACGAACGGATAAATCGCACGGATCTGCGCGGAATCGATCTCTATGGAATTCATTCCAGGTGATACACAATTACGGCCACGGTGGGAGCGGTGTGACGATCAGCTGGGGCTGCGCCATGGAAGTCGTCGAGATCCTTCGAGGCAGTTTAGGGTTGAACTCGCGTCTGTAACCATCGAGGGTCAATAAAGACATACATATGTACACACAATTGTCCGAACGTTCGTGTTCGAAACGGCACCGGCGATTCAACGATTCTAGCGACGATCGCGCGAGCTATTTAGAAGGCATTCGTGATGCTCTTTGCAAACTGCGCGAACTTCGCGGAACGCGGGAAGGCCGCAATTAAGGGAAACGGAGTCAAATGTTCAGGGGGCTGCGTCTTGCGTGGACGGTGCCGCAGTGATATCGACGACGCTGCGCCGTGTCGCGTTGTTAGAGATTCCGCGGATAGCGTTTGCTTCGGTGGAAACGGAAACGATTCGGTCTTCAATCGTTCATCCGATCGTCCACCGACTCCCGCCCCGGTCCCGGCGGTAAACGCCGGCACACCGCCGCCGCGCCACGTTTTCCATTGCAGTTTGCAGTCGCGCGATGAGAAAACAATTGATGGGAGCGGTGGCGCGCGAAACGCGATCCGCCACGATCACACGAGAGAGAGAAACCGGCTTTCGGATCTCGCGTTCCGCGACAAATTGACCGATCCCGATTTCAATCCCTCGAAAAAAGAAAAACAAAAAAAGAACAACAGTTCAACGCCGCAATCGAGCCTCGCGCGGGTTCGAACGAACAAATCGATGGTCCGCGGCACGATGCGTCCGGTCTAATCGAATGAAGCGAATTGATGCCGCGCGACGACGACGTGTCGTTCAAAATAATGAGATACGCCGGACATGAACGTCGCTGGACACAACCGCAGACTTCCCTTGATGCCGAGCCGGGAACACGAGCTGGTCACGGAGGGCAGCAACACCAGCGATTCCGAGTCGAGTTCTGACGCGCGATCCTGCAACGTCCACGGGGATCGGTGCGAGAAGTTCGCGGTCGCGCCGTTCGCCGAGTCGGTTAAGTACGATCGAGAAACGATCGGGAGCCTGCCGTTGGACAGAAAAGACGACAAAGGTATTTATCGCGTCTAACCTAAACCTGCCACGATCGAAAAGTAACGAGATCTCCTTTTCTCGACTTTCTCTCTGTGTTTCCGCGCGTTCTCCGGCAGACAACATCTCGTACGCGGGCACCGACGCGGACAAGGACGAAACCTCGAGCAAGTCGAAGAAGAAGAAGAAACGCAGGTATGCGACTTATCGTTCATCTCTCGTCGTACACGCGATCTTGATCCGTCGATGCTGATATATCCGCTCTCAAAAGGTATTTGACGATATGCACGAGCAACTGCAAGTACGAGGTTGTGAGGCGTGTGGCGACGCGCTTCGGGATGAAAGAGGTCACCGAGGACAGCAGCTGGAACCTGTACTGGACGGACTTGAGCGTGAGCATCGAGAGGGCCAAGGACATGAAAAGGTACCAGAAGGTCAACCATTTCCCCGGAATGACCGAGATCTGCAGGAAGGACCTGCTCGCACGGAACCTGAACCGCATGCTGAAGCTCTACCCTAGGGACTACAACTTCTTCCCGAAGACTTGGTGCTTCCCCGCTGAGTAAGCCGACGCTGCTATTTGCCGGCTATCTGTCGTCTCGAGTGCTTTTATGTTCGTTTTCAGCCACGGGGAGGCGATGGCCTACGCGAAGCTGCGGCGCTCGAAGACCTTCATCGTGAAGCCCGACACCGGTTGCCAGGGTCGCGGTATCTTCTTAACGAGGAACTTGAAGGATGTTAAGCCCACTGAACGCATGATCTGCCAGGTGTACGTGGCCAGGGTATGTACGTGGCAAGCGTCGTTCCTTTGTATCCTCTGGAATCAAAAGCAACGTCGTTTCCATTTTCGCAGCCTTTCCTGATCGACGGCTACAAGTTCGACCTCCGGATCTACGCGCTGATCACCTCCTGCGACCCCCTCAGGGTGTACGTCTACAACGACGGCTTGGCGAGGTAATGAGCTTGCTATCCGCGCGTTCTCCCCTTTCTTTCGCTTCCACGTTCCCGCCCGATTCGAACGCCCGGTTCCACAATTCCCCGGGCATCGCGACTAATCGCCGTTGCGTTTTAAACGGTTCGCTTCGTTTTAAACGCTCCCGCTGTTATCGTCGCTATCGCCGCATTGTTAGGTTGATTGCTTGGTCGTCAGGTTTGCCACTAGCAGATACAAGGAGCCGACCGGACACAACACGTCGAACGTGTTCATGCATTTGACGAACTACGCCGTGAACAAGCACAGCCGAATGTACGTTATCGACGACGAGGTCGGTAGTAAAAGGTCGGTGGGTAATTCTCTCATTTATTTTTTTCGTTTTCGTTTTTTTTTACGGTCCACTCGAACCGCATCAACGACGGGAGCTGTTCTTCTGACGCAGGAAAATATCCACGTTGAACAAGTGGCTGAAGCTGAAGGAGGTCGACGTGGAGGAACTGTGGCGAAAAATCGACGAGATCATTATCAAAACGATCCTGGCGGCTTACCCGATCCTGAAGCACAGCTATCACACGTGCTTCCCGACGCACGATAAAACCTACGCGTGCTTCGAGCTGCTCGGCTTCGACGTGCTGATCGACTGGAAATTGAAGCCGTACCTTTTGGAGGTAATATCCGATTAAACCGTGAACTCGATGCATTTGCATTGAAAATAAGAAACGAAGGATGAATCTTTTCTTTGTGGAAACCTTGTCTTTGCGTTAGGTGAATCACTCGCCGAGCTTCCACACGGACGCGCAGATCGACAAGGACATAAAGGAGGGTCTGCTGATGGACACGTTCGCGATGCTGAACTTGCAGCAATGCGACAAGAAGAAGATCATCGAGGAGGACAGGCGGCGCGTCCGGGACCGATTGCTTCAGGGAATAACCTGCAAGGAGAGCAGGTAAATCGCCTCGAACTCGTGAGATCGCCGGGACAAAGGCTCGGATAAAAGGCTAATTCGGCGTGGTTCGTTTCCCGACGAAGTATGAACGATCCAGTGATGGTGGCGGCGAAACTCGACAAACAGGAGCAGGATTACCTCGAGCGACAGTTCCAATGGGAGGACGAGCACACGGGGAATTTCCGTCGAATCTATCCGTGCCCGGGCCTGCAGAAGTACGAGCCGTTCTTCAAGCAGAACAGCATCTCCGTGTTCCAGGACACGGTGGCGTCGCGAGCCAGGGAGGAGGCCTCGCGGATCCAGAAGGAGGAGAACGAGGTCGATAACGGTTGTCGACCTTTGTCCCTCGCTCGAGGAATATACGGACGCGTAACCGGGACACGTTTGGTTCGCAGGCGAAGCTCAAGGAGCAGGAGAACAAAAAGGTGATCGGCAAGTGGAGCGATTCCAAGCTGCATCCGGAGAGCCCGAAGGTGGTTTACGGTCGCAAGTCGACGTCGACGTCGACGTCCTCGACCACCTCCAGCAATCGCGCGAGAAGCAAATCCGCGGCTACGGTCAAGAAGCATCCGATTCCTCTGAACGTCGGTCTACTCCGGGGCTCGGAATTAAGAGCACGCGACACGACGATGTCGAGGGCTATGCCTCCTGACTCCCGTTCGGCGTCTCGCTTACCCGTGGTCGCCTAAATGCTACACCCGAAAGAGGCGGCGAGTTGTGTGTGTTGCGGTTGTGTCCATGTTGCGAGCTCTTAATTCCGAGCCCTGGTCCATTCCATCGTAGTCGCCCGCGCCGGAGCGAATCGATTAATCGATTTCGTCTCGTTCCAGGCGAAGAAACAAATCGTGAACACGGTTCCAATAGCTGAGAACACCCTGTACTCGTTCGAGCCGGAGATCATCTGCGAGTCCGAGGAGCGGGAGCGCATCACGGCGTTGGCCCAGCGGGACTTCTTGATCAAAAGCTACGGCATGCTCGAGCAGATCTACATGGCGATGAAGAGGAACGGCACGCTGCGCGCCATCGACGAGAAGAAGTACGGATTGTACGGTAGGCTCGGTTGCGTCGAAAATGGGTCCAAGAGCGCGGGCCTCTGCAGGCACAAATGTCAGCACCATCGTCGTCGAGTTGCCATGGAGGTCAGCGATTCGTCGCAGTACTCTGTGAAAGCAAGTAGCGCGTGCTTTCGCGTGTCGCATAGAATTAGTGGAACAGATACCGAACTAGTTTGTTGTCGAAGGAAAACGGGGCAGACGTTTAGCTGGGACACCCTGTAGATCCCAAAGTATGTATATAGTACGCGCGCGTCTCGGGTAAAGTTTTCAGAAGACGCGACGGTGTCACACTCGTGTCTGTTCCACCGATAGATTCCTCTGGGAAACGGTTTGCTTTCGACCGGGATTAAACGTCCGTCCTCTCTCCTTTCTTTCCGCAGGGTAAAGTACCGGCGGATGACATTTCGTTTACGAACGCGGGCAAAGCAATCGCGGACAGAAGGTGTTGAGGCCGCTCTTGCGCTCGGGCTTTTCTTTTCTTTTTCGAAGAATAAGCGAGGTGAGACACGAGCCAGCCGGCTCGGGGGGAGAAACGAGGGCTGTAAAACAGGTGCATCGACGTGTTACAGATCTCGAAGTGACTTGCAGCGAGGCGCGGGTTCACGTTCGACCGAACGTGGCGCGGAAATTTTTGGTGGACCAGCTGAATTCGAGGAGCACCAAGACCCTCGCGGCCGACACTCCGTCGAACGTGGCGCGCCTGCACACGAGACGATTCCGTCGACTCCGTTGATTCCGTTCAGACGATGTCAAGAAGAACGTCGGGACGATGTCAAGACGAGAGTGGCGTTTCGATTAAACGATCTCCCGTATTTCTAGCATTTCCCCTCCCCCCTCCGCACAGCAAATCAGCAAACCCTTTGGTTAATAAAATATTTTTCATAAAACGACAACAGAGAGGTTTGCGTGTTTCTTGACAGCTATAATATTAAGTTTCGGACTCCGATGGAAGTTATAGAATAGACGATGTAAAAACCAACATGGTATGGATTTGTTATTTCAAGTGCCATATAAATATGTACAATGAGTGAACATGTACACGCCGCAGGAAAACGAGAATGATTCCGCACGCGTGCGGAACAGCGAGATACGCACGCCGATCTGTAATATGTATAACAATTTTGTTTTCTTTTTATTGCTGACATACATATATATATATATGCATATATATATATACAAACGCGTATATATATACGTATATACATGTACATACATACGTACATACTCGGTATTCACACGATAAAAAATAATGAACAATTTGTTCTGTCTATAGCCGTTCTCTTTTCTTTCCTTTTTGTTGGCTCAGCAATGACAACGGTGTCCGCGTGCATTTTCGCCGGATGTCGCGCGTAACGGTGACTCGAAAACGTTCCATATTTTATTGTTTTTTTTCTTTTTCCTCGGTTTTTGATTCGGTATAGATCGGCGTCTCCGAGGGTTGCGGGAGACGAAGATCGACGATCAACGATCGCGTTAACGGCGACGCGTTTATCGAACGCTCGTACAATCACCTGAAGCGTTAAAAATTAAAACAACGAATACAAGTTGGTTGGCGGTAACGAACATTCGGTGTCGTACAAAATAATGATAGAACCGTGACAGTGATAATAACGACGAAGCGCCGCAATCAAATCGCGTTATCGGCTCGCTCGACTTCCCGTCGTGCCCCGGTTCCCGACCAGTGCCGGATCGACCAATTGCTTCGCGGTTCGTTTCGATAGGTAGCACGCGCATATTGGAGATACCGGTCGCCTAAATGCATTTGGACTCATTTCGAAAGCGTTAACCGGCGCGAATTCGTTTCTTTCGGAACCAATTTGCCAATCGGTAAATTCGGCGTTGCTCGCGACCGAGACTTTCGGCGGGCCCACGAAAATGCTTGTCCAGAGAGGAAGAGGCGCGGATGGAGTCTCGACCGCTTCCAAGTTTCATCTAACGCTGTATTCGCCGAGCTCTTTTTTTCCGGCCCGATTCTGATCACACGTGTGCAGTCAAAAGCGAGAAACAACTCGATACCACACGCACTCGCGCGCACACACACACACAAGCACAGGCACGCATTAATGATTCGTGGACGAGATACAGGGGGTATTTACAGGTCGCGTTATCGCTGTACGCGGGTTTCGTGTTGTTTCGTCAGCACCGTGTCGAGTTACTTCGAGGATGCAAAAGGCATTGCGATTTTGCGTGTACGATGCACACAGTGCACGAAGTAACGCTGCCTACTCTCGCAGACGATTCTAATATTCCCAGACCCTGCGGCTCGCGTAAATATCATTTACACGCTCGTCTCGTTTTGTTTGAAAAAGTAAAATTTTTGTCGCAATATATTCCCGTGAATCGAATGTATCCGCCACAGCTGCCAGGATTCGGCGCGTCGCGCTTTCAATATGTTAACGTTGGAATCGCCGGAAAGGAAGGCGCGAAGTCCCTTTTCCATCCTCGCGCCCCGAGCAACGCCTTTTCCCTGGATCAGACTATTTCAAGCTTAATCCACGGCATTCTTGTGTACAGAGTCGTCCGCGACAGAGAAAAAAGAAAGTAACGTTAATGATTTCCGGCGTGACCTCACCCCCCGACCGCCGCGCGACACGACACAACATACACAGGGTGTCCCGGTGAAACAGGATCGCTTGAATATTTGCCCGATGTACCGTTGCACGGCCAATCTTATCAGCATAAAATTATGCCGTTCCTTTAATGAAACGTCACGGTTACCGATCTCATCTTAAACCGTACCGCGTATTTTGTCTTCTGGCATCCTTGCGGAGCATGAAAGAGACGAGTCCCGACGACCTCGATAATCATACCGTTACGATCCTGAGACATTTAACGTCGTATCTAACGTATCCTGGAATTAAACGATGGTAAGCGGTGCGCGATTATCGAGGTCGCGTATTCGCCTTTCTCGTGCTTCATACTCTTATGTATAAGGATGTCGGAGAAAAAATGCACGGTTTTTATACAACGATAAATCAGACGGACATTAAGGTCCTGTTTAATCGAAACACTCTCTATACAACAAAAATACGCGATGATGGTATTTTCTTTCTCTCTCTCTCTTTTCCTATTCGTTGTAATACTAGTATGAGCATTATGTAGTTATAGGATCCTGTGTTTATGTTACGCGCGTGTAATATTCGTTAAAAAGGATTACAGTAAAACAAGCTTAAAAGCGTGGATTACACAGAGAGAAACGCCGAGCAAAAGATCGCCGGAACAACGGGAGCGTCTGCGGCGGACACGAGACCAGGCATCCGGTTGTTCCGAGCGGCTCTGATACCTTTTCGAAATTAGTTCTCCGTTTAATACAGGCGTGAAATACGTAAAATGATAAAATTGGCTATATTTCATACATATGTATATATGTATATAGAAAAGAAAAAGGAAACTATACAATCCGTGGGACTCGTTTAATTTCGCGTTAGCTGCCAACGGAATTCAGTTTTCTCTTCCCCTCGTTTTTTTTTCCCTTTTATTCTCTACTCCGTCAATCGTTCGCGTCGATTGTACTTGGTTGTATCGTTCATGATACACCAAGTATCCGATTCGAGAGACTGCGGATCTTCACGCGAGTCCTAAAACGAATTATTCGTTAGACTTGGCTAACTCCTAAGGAGATTGGAAAGACGTGCCACATTCGTTTAAATAATCGTTATCAACATAAATCGACTGAGCCCGAATAGTTTACGTACTGATTCAAATCGGCATTTCGTTAAATAATTGCTACGAACGCATAAAGGCCCGCAGTCCATCGATGACAAGGGGCGTGTATTCGATATTGCGTATGTATGCGCGAGAGTGAATGTTTATGGTGTGTGTATGTGTGTGTGTGTGTGAAAATTTAGTTACTGTAACTAAACAGGACACTCCATTCGGTACATTGATGTAGTATCTTGAGCTTGATTCGTGTTCGCACGAATTCGTTACCGTCGGGCTTCTAGAAAACAAAGTTCTCCGTGCTTTCGGAGTGTTCATCCGCGAGACTTTTCACTAAGACAAAGGTACGGCAAACAACGCTGTACAATAAATTTTCGCTTTTTACGTTCCCGCGAAGCAACGCGCGATTCTTGTAGATTTTTAAGAAATTTACAAGAATCCCCAATTGCCGCAGCGTAAAATATATACTGGACAGTATAATAGTCGGGCGAACGAATTCCTGTAGTTATCTCGGCTCTCTTTCTAAAACACACGGAGAACCCACGTAGAAAAGTTAAAAGAACGCGTTATTGATGCGTGTCGAATGAATTAACAGCATAAACCATGGCAAGAAAGGATATACGATCTTCGGTGAAACAGAAACCTGTCCCTATTTTTCCACCGTCTCTCTCTCTCTCTCTGTTTCTCTTAACGATACAAGCCTTCGATAGATCCCTGCAAACAGATAGAAATATTTTTATACATATGCTGTATTAAAACTTCTATTTACATTCTGGATATACTCTAAACTATAACACTAACATATCTCGAAAGTATATAACTGACCATGGTTTATACGAAAATACTTGAAATATAAAAATACAAGAGTTGTAGCACTTTCATATGTGTTAATACGTTGTTTGAGGGGGGGTTGGGGGGAGGGGGGGGGGGCAAAGAAACAGCGNCGTTGTAATACTAGTATGAGCATTATGTAGTTATAGGATCCTGTGTTTATGTTACGCGCGTGTAATATTCGTTAAAAAGGATTACAGTAAAACAAGCTTAAAAGCGTGGATTACACAGAGAGAAACGCCGAGCAAAAGATCGCCGGAACAACGGGAGCGTCTGCGGCGGACACGAGACCAGGCATCCGGTTGTTCCGAGCGGCTCTGATACCTTTTCGAAATTAGTTCTCCGTTTAATACAGGCGTGAAATACGTAAAATGATAAAATTGGCTATATTTCATACATATGTATATATGTATATAGAAAAGAAAAAGGAAACTATACAATCCGTGGGACTCGTTTAATTTCGCGTTAGCTGCCAACGGAATTCAGTTTTCTCTTCCCCTCGTTTTTTTTTCCCTTTTATTCTCTACTCCGTCAATCGTTCGCGTCGATTGTACTTGGTTGTATCGTTCATGATACACCAAGTATCCGATTCGAGAGACTGCGGATCTTCACGCGAGTCCTAAAACGAATTATTCGTTAGACTTGGCTAACTCCTAAGGAGATTGGAAAGACGTGCCACATTCGTTTAAATAATCGTTATCAACATAAATCGACTGAGCCCGAATAGTTTACGTACTGATTCAAATCGGCATTTCGTTAAATAATTGCTACGAACGCATAAAGGCCCGCAGTCCATCGATGACAAGGGGCGTGTATTCGATATTGCGTATGTATGCGCGAGAGTGAATGTTTATGGTGTGTGTATGTGTGTGTGTGTGTGAAAATTTAGTTACTGTAACTAAACAGGACACTCCATTCGGTACATTGATGTAGTATCTTGAGCTTGATTCGTGTTCGCACGAATTCGTTACCGTCGGGCTTCTAGAAAACAAAGTTCTCCGTGCTTTCGGAGTGTTCATCCGCGAGACTTTTCACTAAGACAAAGGTACGGCAAACAACGCTGTACAATAAATTTTCGCTTTTTACGTTCCCGCGAAGCAACGCGCGATTCTTGTAGATTTTTAAGAAATTTACAAGAATCCCCAATTGCCGCAGCGTAAAATATATACTGGACAGTATAATAGTCGGGCGAACGAATTCCTGTAGTTATCTCGGCTCTCTTTCTAAAACACACGGAGAACCCACGTAGAAAAGTTAAAAGAACGCGTTATTGATGCGTGTCGAATGAATTAACAGCATAAACCATGGCAAGAAAGGATATACGATCTTCGGTGAAACAGAAACCTGTCCCTATTTTTCCACCGTCTCTCTCTCTCTCTCTGTTTCTCTTAACGATACAAGCCTTCGATAGATCCCTGCAAACAGATAGAAATATTTTTATACATATGCTGTATTAAAACTTCTATTTACATTCTGGATATACTCTAAACTATAACACTAACATATCTCGAAAGTATATAACTGACCATGGTTTATACGAAAATACTTGAAATATAAAAATACAAGAGTTGTAGCACTTTCATATGTGTTAATACGTTGTTTGAGGGGGGGTTGGGGGGAGGGGGGGGGGGCAAAGAAACAGCGTTTGCGTATCTGGTATCTGTGCTCAAACGCGTTTCTTTGAAGCACCCAAAATACTTCGGTAATCATTGAATTATGCGAAAACACTGGATTCAGGATATCTTTTTCGACGTCTCAAATACTCCATGGTAGATATGAACATTTACAATAAAATATCGCTTTACGAGAACGATTTCACAATTGTCCGATATTCACATAACTCTGTCCTTAGATAGTTAAATGTGCATTCATCCTTTCTCCCTCTTTCTTTCTTTTTTGTTTTTTTCTTTTTTTTAGATTTTTGAAAGTACCACTCGATGGTTTTTGGAGTTCCCTTGATCGACGCGACGAGCCTGATGACAAACAGCGATATTCGTTAAATGATACACACATTGTCGACGTGTAATTTACCAGGAACGTTCATCCGAATTTCAACGAAACGAGCAGAACATTCGTTTACCTGCCAGTGATGTGTATTTTCAGGATCCGTTTGTCGCCAATCATCACGTGTATATTTCTTTACTGTACACATATGATTATCCTTTCAAGTTTCGAATTAAATGCAATTAACAGATACGATGACAATCGAACGAGGTCTTTCCACGTTTTTATACTCTCTCAGACACTTCTCTCACTCTCTCTCTTTCTTTTTATATTTTTTTCATTAAGGTTTTTTTTTCTCTCACAGCTTTGCTTAAAAAACGTGCATGCCTCCTGGACTTTTGTTTTTAATATGCTTTTTACGTTCTAACGGTAACAGAAAACAAATCAACCGTCTAGAAAATCCTCTCGAGCTCATTTTATAAATAAACTTTTTTGTTAAATGGACGAATCCACTTGTCATGAACAGACTCAAAATTTCATTTAACTTTCGAACATATGTTGCTCCTTCGCGGTCCTCTGAATCATCGATACCACTCTCGCAATGATACCCTAATATTTCAACAAGTTAAAGCTAAGATATTAACAAACAGCGCATGTTTATAATATATGCACGATTTCGCCCGTGCACTAGTGTATATCGCATGTGTATACGTGTGTGCAATCGCACGCGCACATGTGCGTGTTACAAGGTGTAAACGCTAACAAAGAGTCACTCGTGCGTCGCATATACGACGTGTCAAGAAGTGTTATGGTTTAAATTTGACCAAAGGTATATTTTTCGACTGCAAACACTTATCACACACCCATTCCGCGTAAACCTCTGCCGTTAGTAATTGATAGGCGGTTTCCGACAATCCTGTGCATCCTCTGGAACAAACGAATCAATTATACTGTAATAATCGACTAGCCGTTGGTTTGGATGTTATACGTACGAATGACATACTTGTAGCGTACCTGTGAAACCAGAAATTGCAACCAGACTCGCAAAGAATCGCTTGGTCATTATCGTGCACTTCTTTGTGACACACTCCGCAAGGATAAATGGGCGGAGCATTGGGATTCTGTGGATTAAATACCATTGGTTGGTTCGGAGGGTATATCTGCAACAGTATTAAATCGTTATCAAACTTGCTCCGCGAGTAGGCACGCACTCGAAGAATTTTACTGTTTAAAAAATTACTTTTCCTGCTGAAACTGGCATTGGTTTTGGTCCCATTCCCGGTGGGCCTTGAAAACCATGAGGCGGCATAGAACCACCCATGTTAATCGGATGGCCTATCGGTGGACCGCCACCCATATTACTGGACATAGTGCCCATCGGGCCTGCCATGTGGCTCATTTGATTGTGATGACTGATACTCATATTGGACATATTGTTCATTGGTGGCCCGCCCATGTTCATGCTATTTATTGGATTCGGACCGCTCATGTTCATATTGTTAGTCACCATGGAGCTCATAGTGGTCATAGGTCCGTTCATGGGCCTTCCTAAATTGTTAAGATTATTAGCCATGTGATTTGGATGGGGTTGAGATCCGTTGTGTCCCAGTGGACTGTTCACATTGTTCATAGAAGGCCCGTTCAATGGACTGTTGGGTGGTATATGGCTATTAATATTATTCATATTCATTGGTCCATTGGGCATGTGATTCGATCCTCCCATAGTGTTCATGGGAGATCCTAATGGACCGCCCATAGGACTGCCCATGCTGTGTCCCATGTTATTCATAGGACTGCCCATTGGTCCGCTGTTCATGTTGTTCATTGGACTACCCATGGGTGGACCGCTGAGTTGAGAGTTGCCCATGTGACTCATATTCATATGATTGTTCATGGTATTCATTGGACCGGGTGGCATGTTGGGACCCATATTGTTCATGGGACTCATACCACCTATCGGCGCGTGATTCATGGGTGACATGGCTCCCATATGATTCATATGATTCGTCATAGGCGAGTTTCCCATAGGGCTCATGCTACCCATGTTATGAGGCATCATAGGACTCATGCCGCCTATCGAAGTTAACGGACTCATGCCTCTCATGGGTGGCCCACCGATGTGATGCGGATGGTGCGGATGCATATGAGGCGGTCCACCGTGCATCATGGGAGTTTGCGTCGTTTGCGGCGGCGTATCGTCAAAAGGGTTACTCGCCACTATCGTGTCTCCATACCCCGTCAATGGCGGAGGTAACAAATCCTAAAAATGCATACTTGTTTTTGAACAAAGAAATAGGTGATGCAACAAAGCGTGCATGGAAGTGAAATGTAAAATCAACTTACTTGCACGGATGGAGGTTGTTGCGGTGGTGGTTGAGCGACGTTCGCATTGGTACGTCTCTTCTTTTTGGGGTTCGCACCGGCAGGTGGTGGTGGCGGTGGATGAGGGTGAGCAGAAGATTCAGGATGTGGGGCACTAGGTCCCATATTCACACCCATACCCATACCCCCCAAAGGCATCCTCGCAAAGGGTGGCATGCCTGCAATATTGTGGCTCATTTCCTTCGCTCTCTTCCCTTATTTTAACATGCCTTATCAGCACCACAATATTTTCGGTGACAAACGTCTTCCGCTGCTCCACTGATATTTAAGAGATGAAAAGGAACGCGTCATTACATTGCATCGTCTCGTGACGATTGTTCTTAAGAATATTTTAGAAATATCTAACATTCATCCATAATCTAGCCTGCAGTGAAATTATAAATTCATTTGTATAATATATAAATTATTTCATACACTTGCAAAACCGTTTCTTGTATAGATTTTCATTTGCATGACTTATAAAAATTGAAGATAATCGTAAATTTATGACTGCATACAGATAATTGAGTACATGTACGATTGTAAGGTATTATATCTGTGTATGTAAATATAAATAAGGGATACTTTGGAGCGGGTTTACGAAGGAACGATCGTCCGTGTAAAAATAATACATATTCTCGAACGACAGTACGTTCGCAGCGATAAAAGTAACGTAAAAAAAATAGGTAACCCCTTGAAAAGAGAACAAAATAAAATCCGCCGATGCCAGTTTCTCAGACCAACCTAACCTACACATTTTTCCAAACCATCTACCTGTGCTCGTCGATACGTAATAAGGCGCGTATGGTTTCGCTGTGAACGCGGGCCAGAGAAATAAAGGCGGTCCGTGTACTTACCAGCACATTATAATTGACAAGATATCGATGCGTACATGGCTATCCCGTTTTTTCGGCAGGGACCAAACCATTGAATTGTGTCGTGCGCCTAGCTAGCTTTAATGGTTGGATCGACGCGATTTTTTGTTTCTCGCGTTCGCACTTCACCAGTCACATATTTTACGGTAGCACGGACCGATTTCACATTCAAGAATCCGCGAAAAGGACACGGTAAACACTGGCGAGATGTCAAAAGTGTACGAAGCAAGGAAACGCACGCCAGCCTTTCAGGTCGCCATTGTCGCGTTACGCGTGTCCCTGTAGTTGTATTGTTCCGCGCGAGGATACTGCACGGTGCATCGGGCAGATGTCGCTACCGACTGCATTCCTGAAACTTTCGAATGGGCATGTAAAATTTACGATACTTAGTAGGCCATAGTAGGTCGTCGTAAATCATTGCAAATGGCAATGCGGAGTAGCAATAATATAACAATAACAATAACAATGATAATGATAATAAAAATAATAGTAATAGTAATAACAACAGAAAAATCACTGCTTGTCCTCGAAAAGTCAAACGGCACGAAATCAAATGAAATTAAACGGAAAGAAAAATGAATAGATTTAAGAAGTACTAAAATACAGTACTAGAATAAAAAGATAAAATATGAGAAAAAACATTGCATTTCATATATATCGTTAAAACATTGACTAGTGTTACTTATTAATTAACGCAGTCATTACGTAATTTGGGTAATACTTATGCTTGTGGGGAAGAGAAGGATTAGCGATTGGAAGCGGGAAGGGATAAGGAGATCCTGGAAACTACGGACTAGACTAGGGGAGAGACTATGTAACTATTAGGATATTAAGTATGAAGTGCATATTTTACTCTATAATTTTAAAATAAGATCTATGCATTTCATATTCAATGACCTGATAGGAGGTTTTGGAAAGTCAAGAGAGAATCTGGGGGGGGGGGTGTCTACGACTAGGTTCAAGGAAGTACAGTACAGTAAGTAAAGAAGTGCGGTAAGGGAGGAATTAGGAAGCCAGGGGAGGATGTATGAAAATAGGAACTAAGAAATTACGGAAGGAGGGTAGGTGAAGAGGAAGAGAGATAAGGGAAGATAGACACGGGAAACGAAGGCGGGGAGGAGGAGGATCCTTTATGGTCCAAGGAGTCCGCCGAGCTCAGCGGCTCGAAGGACACCGGGAATTTTTGACTGCGCAACCCCTCATTCATCCGTCGTTGCTCTAACTTGGCCGCATGACAATAGAGATCTGTTGCGTAGCGATCTTGACAGTGTTTGCGAGGTACTATCGATCCTCGTTAACGAATGCGTTCTCGCAGGCTCTCGTTGCATTCGACTAATATTCCACCGAATAGCGTGTAGTTTCCGAGCCGAGACGTGGAAGAAGTTACAATCGATCTTTTATTGACTTTATACGCATACACATGTCGCCGAGCTGGTTTCAATAGCAGGAAAAGGCGTCGCCGCGATTAATCTCGGCGGTGAAACGTTTTTAAGCCGCGGGGAAAGTCGGAGGAAGCGAAGTTCGGCCAAGATGGAGCAGTTTAGTTTAGACTTTAGAGCATACGTTACTTAGACAGCACTATTACGCGCGTCTGAAATTCTCCGTCGACCTCCTTGTCCCTCTTTCGACGATTCCGCGCGTTGCACCACCCTCCATCCACATTAGAATCCCGGGAGTTGTCTCTCTGCGACCCGAGAGTGGAGGCTGTACACGTCACTTTAATTATTTGAGTTACATTAGCAAGTTAGCGTGGTTTAACAACTGGAAATGGGTCTCGCGCAATATCTACCGTGGACAGTTGCCTTCCAGCTATTCGTGATACAGTTGGCGAAACTGCGATCAAGTTGTCTTATCTTCGCCGTGTTTTATTTCGTCGAGGACACCCGCGGCGAGAACGAGAGACAGCTCGCCGCCGACAGAGAGTCGAAGGTGTACGTTTTCTCTGGGCCCGTTCGTTTCGTCACGGGAATCGAGTCCGAACGACGACGACGACGACGACGACACGACGACGATGACGACGACGTTCGCGTTCGCGAACGAACGAAAATAAGACTTCCAAGTCATCCGAAGTCGAAGATTATCTCTGCGCCTCGTTCCGACGAATTTCTGCACGTTGCTCAGGTCCGCTCGATAAGATATAATATTTGAAGAATCTCTCGAGTCCTCGAGAAAAAGGAAATCTCGAACATCCAGGTCAGACGCTTTCGGCAGGGAGGCTGGTGCCGGTTCATTGATTCCGTTAATCGCACGGCCACTTACAGCTTATTTCTATCAGGGGGGGGGGGGGATAGGTTAACCATCCGTGGAAAATCACTCGGACCCTAGATCGAATGCTTCGATTCGTACGTGTGCGTATTCGTACGTCGTCGGATCCATCGAACCGAGTCTCGCGATTAGCGAAGAACGCGGTGTATACTTAGACCGAACTTACCATTCGAAGTTCATCATCAGCCTCGGGACAGAAGAGGCATTAGCAGTCGCATTAGCAACTACCCTGCGCGCCCATCTAAAGTTTGCGCATTAAGACAGTTTACTATGACATGGTCATGGGCTCGTTTCACCTTCAATTCACTCTCTAAAAGCCTAAGGAACAAAACGGGGGCTCTGCTCTTTCGTGACCCGATGTATTTAACGAGTTAAACGCGTTTGTCGCGTATACACGTCGAACCAAATTTCTATTACGGTGTTTACTCGACGTGTTTACTCGTCGTTAAAAACATAAAATTACCATTGACTATGAAAACTCGAAATTTTAATAAAATATAATAAGAATATTATTTGGTGGGACTGCTAAGTAGAATAGAACTGCTAAGTATTTTATACGAAGGGGATGGAGTGGGCTACTTCATCGAAAGCAAATCCCCTCCGAAGATGTACCGTCTGTTCGAAAAATGGGATCCGTAAGAAGTCAAGATATTGCTGTAAGATCTGCGAAGTGCCACTTTGTGTGATAGCATGTTACGAGAAATATCGCACCGAACTCAATTGAAATTCTTAATATTTTTCTTTCCACATGTGTCTTTCTTGTTTATGTGTTTTATTATTATTTGAGAATTTTTGAGTTTATAATATACAATAACTTTTCAGAAATAAATTGTTAAGTTCTTCTTAAATAAAAATATCAAGGTTAAATAATAGATAGGGCAAAATGGTCCTATTACAAATTTTATGAAAAACGAAGAGAAGAAGTAAATAATACCATTATACTAATTTTGGACCATTTTGCCCTGCGTTCGTCGCGTATACACGTCATCGCTTGATTTTAATTCCGCACACTGCGAGGGTTTTTTTAGAACTAAATTCGCCGCTTAACAGGTTAAACGGCCATCCTATTAGTCATTTTTTGGCAATTAAACGAAAGGAACGGCTGTTACACCGGGAACAACGCAAAAAGCTAACAAGCCAACGTGAAATATCCACAAAAATATGTTCGGAAAAAATTGTCGTACGAAGCACAGAATTGTTATAAACATCATACAATTGTGAAAATAATTTGCCGTCCGAGGGTTAATTTCTAGTTTTGCTTTCGTCGACCGAACCCCTTTGGTTTTTCTCTTTCTTTTTTTTCGCGGAGAAAAGAACGCGGAAAACGCCGCCGCGGCTTTTGTTCGAGATAGAGGAAAAGAACGAAGGGCAGAGAGTCGCGATGCGGCAATCGAAGAACGAGACGCAAATGGATTTCACAAACAGCGACGTTCACCGCACAAATACAGCGCGCCGATCAGTCAGAGTCGGTCTTGTAGGTACACGGCCGTGTTCCGCATAAGAACGACCGATTTGCGGGGATTATCGAAAGACGACGCGCAGCCGGCGCGTATATCATTCCGAGAATGCATCTCGCCGCGTCCTTGTCGCCGTCGTGCGTCAAAAATTTACTTTCGCATTAGCTACGCCCGAATTGTTCAGGTTCGCCGAGCAGCTTTTCACCGTCGCGGCGCGGTGCGGCGCGATGCGGCGCGTCGTCTCGGCGTGCAACGTCGCGGAGTCGATGAACACGTTTCGAGGAGAAACCATCCTTGACCCGGTACGCGGTACACGGCCTTTCGAGGCGGACAATTTCCATGACACGTTTCTTGCGACCAAACAAACGATCCGATATCGCCCGTGTGTACCATGGTGTTTCCCAAGCGTTTCGTGCTCCCGGCGTACTTTAGCCCTTTCGCTACTACGGGTGACTATAGTCACCCGCCACAAAACGACACCCACATACGATGGGTGACTATAGTCACCCGCCACAAAACGACACCCACATACGATGGATGACTATAGTCACTTGCCACAAGATGCCACCTATACACGACGGGTGACTATAGTCACCGGTCACAACAATGGAGCCAAAAGTTAAAACAAGGGCTATCGCCTCGCTTTCCTCTGTTCGCAGACGCTATCATCTACCAAAAACTACGATCAATTGTAATAAATCTGGTCATATTAATCCAACGTTTTTGAAGCAAAAGACTTGGCCCCGAATGCCGAAGACTTTCGGCAGGGTGCTCCGTTCTACACGAGGGACTCCGCGGCGAGGCCCGCCGTAGCGAAAGGGTTAGCGAAGCGGGGGCCATCTCCTCATCGACGCTCGAGTCTCTATTAGCGAAAAGTTCTGAGTTGAGAACGTTAGATCGAAAACGAACGGAATAAGAGAACCACGCAGAGATTTTAATTCCTCCGGAGAACCGAACGGCGCGTGACGCGCGGTGTGCTCGGCTCGCGGAGTCAACATCGTCGCGAAACTCTGTGACGTGGATCATAGATCGTTAGATCGTGGTAGATACTCCGGTGTCGGTCGTTGCGCAATCAGTTTTCGAAATCGTAGCCGCGCCGGCAGAGGCGTGCGAGCATACGTAACAGTTGTTCCCCCCGGAATTAAAATAACCGGAAAATCGCTCGCTTTCAACGTCGCGCCTAACAGAAATGCCGAACGTTCGATAAAGCCGAACGATCGAATCTAGTAGGAATTGCCGTCGCTGAATGGACAACGCCTCGTTCGGGGGGACACGATTTTCGGACGCGCCGCGAACGAAATTACCGGCGACGATTGTTCAAACTGACAGGAGAAAGGCGAGCCAACGCAATTTTCATGTGTTCATTGGTCGCGATCGATTGGCGGCCGGAATGCGCGGCAAAGCGCGGTCGCCCCGCGCGATTATCGACGCGGCGTTCGGGATTCCGGCTGCGGCGCGTGACACGCGGCGTTGTAAATCCTGCGAGGAAATTGCGTGCAACCGGTTGAACCGCGCGCGCCGCGATCTTACGCCGACCCGCTCGTTAACGAGATTCTCGGTGCT